GGAGCAGCCTCGCGTTTACAGGATGATTGGGACTTTGATCCAGCCAAGCTGGATAGGTTTGAGTGTCCTATCTGTGACCACTATTCTATCATGCCTGTGGATGATCTAAAGGAGGTTGAAAAGCACAACTTGAGGATGGAGAAGGAGCATGATACTGCTGTAGCCGCCCACGATGCAGTGAATAGAGATAAGAAGGGGCGTCCAAGGCTCAAGGGTATTTTGGATGTAAGGATGGCTTGCTACTGCTGCAAGTTCAACTGTAACCTAGATCCAAGGGGGGGGACGTGCCCTGAATGCAGCAAGCCAGGTGTCGATTATCTTGAGTATGATCCGCAGACAGGATCACCAGTGGCTTGCAGCTGTCCCCTTTGCAACTGCCAGTGTTCCATCTATTTCTATCTTACTGACAGGTGGAATATTGATAAGAATGAAGAGAGGCTTAGAAGTGGACCTGCGCGAGATGAGCAGGAGGAACAGTATTCAGGGAACCCCCTAGGGAAGCTACACGACTCACTGCATAAGCATGTCCATAGAGGACGCTTTGATGCAACGCTGGATAACTGCCAGCCTTTGGGAAGTGCTCAGTTTGAGCAAGACGCCTATGGACATGCAGCTGATTACACTAAGACTGACATTCACTTTCAGTCTGATGTGGCTTTGAGGAACAGTATTCAAAAGAGGGTCCCAAGGGGGATTAGAACTAGGGTCGATGGGCTTGGTGATTCCAGAAAGGAGGGGGCCGGCTCAGCAGAGGGGACCAGTCGTGGCTCAGCAGAGGGGAGCAGCTCAGCAGCAGTCCATTCAGGCCCCTTTCCAGGAGCCTCGGCCAGTCTCTTTTTCCGCAAGTGAGAGGAGTGCAAGACACTACAACAATCGAAACTACAGTGATAGGGGGCACAGGAATGATCTTGGTGGGGACCGGGGGCTAGCGAGGTTGCCAGCAAAGTATGATCCTCTTGCCTCTAGGCTGAGGGCTGCTGCTGGCCAGGATGTCGTTGATATTGCTGCTTATTCAAGCAGTAGTGAGGAAGAGGAGGAGTACACGCCTGCTGTTGCTACTAGAAGAACCATTCATCCACATTGCACTCCTCACACTGATGAAGAGACGCCTCCCTTTCATGTAAAGCTGAGACAAAGAATCCTCATGCGTTTGACTGATCCTGGTGCTGTGGAAGATACTCCTACAACACATTCTGCTTTACATCGAATCAATACATTGCTTTCATCTTCCTCTGCTGGTGATGAGATGCAGGAGGTTCAACAACTGATGACTTGGATACATGATTTTAGTCATCTGTTTAATGGTGACCTAGTGGCAACTATTGAGGGCTTGATTAAGGCTTTGAAGAGGAATGCTGCCAGTGATAGAATGCAAGCTGCTCGGATGCCGGCTGCTGGCTCTGCTTGGATGCCAGCTTCTGGAGCTGCTCGGATGCCAGCTGCTGGTGCTGCTCGTATACTGGCTGCTGGCGCTGCTCGTGCTGCTTTGCCAGTTGCTGGCGCTGCTCGGATGCCAGCTGCTTGGATGCCAGCTCGGATGCCAGTAGCACCAGCCGAATCGATGCTGGATGCGCGGATGGAAGCCCCTATTTGGTTGCGATCAGCTGTTGCAGCAAGGAAGCGGGTGCAGGGAACAAGCGTCCTCCAAGAAAGAAACCAGCAAAACGCGTGGCAAAAAGAGTAGCAGTAGCAAAGGAACCAACCAAGGAAGAAAAGAAAGCAGCAAGGGAAGCAAAGAAAGCGGCGATGGAAGCAAAGAAAGCAGCCAAGGAAGCAGCAAAGAAAGCGGAAGCAGCTAGGGTTGCAGCACAGGAGAAAAGGACAAAGGAGCTGTTTGAGCAGAGTTGAGCTAAGTATTTGAAGAAAAGAGCGGAAGAACATGAGGCTCAGAGGAAGATGAAGAGGAGTGATGATAGTATGAGCAGCTTTGGTAGTGGTGGAAGTGGAAACAGCAGTTCCTCCAGCAACAAAGTTAGTAGATATGAGACGCCGTAGTAGATTCCAGACGCTCTACAGTACATACTAAAACTGTAGGCCCCGGACAGCTCAAAGGCGCAGCTCGCTGGTCCTTGGGGTATTGCTCAAGTCTATTGCAACTACTCTTGGTAATTATGATTCTTACTAAAGATAAACTGTATACAAATAGTACTGTTGTAGATAGAGGAAGGACCATGCGTTGGATCCATCCCTCTTAAGCTTGAGTATGCTGGTCAATCAACTGTAATTCAATCCATCTAGTCGATTCATCAAAATCGATTGAGCATCTGAGGAAGGAGCCGGAAGCTGCTCCTGTAGGGGAATGGAATCCAAGCGTCTCCAGTAGGATTCAGTTTCCACAGGCCCAGGACAAGTCACCACGCTGGCAAGCCACGCTCCAGGGGATTGCTCCAGTTCATTGCAGCTACTCTTTGGATCTGCCGCGCTTGCTGGAGACCAACGCGCTGCTTTTGTTGCTGTTGCTAATCATCATAGTTCCCATCCAAACTGTACCCACAGTGATCAAAGGTCGCATCAACCCCTTTGATAGATCTTCCAGCTTCCCTGTAAATCGCTGCTTCAAGATCACTGGTAGTCCAATTAGGCCTGGCCTCCCTGGATACTGCTGATACAAGATCACAGATCTTGAATTCAACGGGCCCATACTTTGGCTGGTATGGAGGGTGTGGGATGGATCTGAATAGAGTTGGTTTAGGATCTGGTCTGATAGCGACCTTCAGACCCACCAAGGTGGACAGATGAGAGCCAAGATTGTCCCAGAGGAAGATCCTCTCCTCATCAGTGTCACCAGGGACTGGATTGGTCTCGATGTCCATGCAGATCCTATCAATAAAGCGCGCAAAGACTGTGGCAGAGGTCCCTACCTGCTGAATCACATTGATCCATCGCCTTGGATTCTCCACGCTTCCTCTAGTCGCTGGAGGAAGTCTTGGATCCCCTGCTTCCACAGCAAGGATAATAGTAAGCTTTTGGGTCCTCTGATAGGCTCCAGGAATCCTTGCTCTAAAGCACTTGAGCGCGATTCCTTTTTTCCCCTTGCTGGTCTTGGTCATATCCATACCAAACTCATCCACATCAATGAACCTCCTCCTGGGAACTCCTACTACCCCCAGGGGGAGGGGGCTTGGTCCAAAAGATCTTGGATCTCCACATACTCTCTGGGCTGAAGGCTTGATAGGCTTCCTTCGACGCACTCTTCCTTGTAAGCTCCATCTTGTTCAACCTCCTGCTGATTAGTGAATTAGAGTAGGTTGGTCCTCCCATATTGAAAATATGAGTAGCGATCTCATCATTGCTTGCATCTGGATAGATCCACACAAACACAACCATGTTAAAGAGGTCCTTCCCCACCAGTTTGCCCTGACTCCTATTGCCTGTCTTCCTGTATGGATCAAGGCGTCTACTCCATCTGGAAAGAGACGCCTTACTGACAGAAGTTGGAAGACCAGCAGCCTTCCTTTCCAGTTCCTGCTCCCTAAAGAAGACAGGATAGCCTTCACTCCCTCCCCTAGAAGGATGAGGCCTTTCAGCTCTTTCTTGCTGTGTTAATCGCCTTAGACCAGCATTGGCTCTGATCCTTGCAACCTCATCGGCTGGATCCTTTCTGCTCATACTGCTGGTTGCCGACGTCGG